ATGCCGGTGGGGGTGGGGAAGGATCGTTTCGGAAAGATCTTTCAAAAAGACATCGATCGGATCCAAAATTAAAACGTGGGGACGTCGTATGCGCATTTTATTCACTTACCAGTTCCGGCGGAGTCCTAAGCCGTCTTCGGTCAATGTCAGCGGAGCCCTTCCGGCGTGCGTGCGGGTCCGCGGAGCGGGGCTGCAGCCTCGGACACGGCCCGGCCGGAGAGAGTGACGCCGGCCCCGCCCACGTGACGGCAGCTCCGCGGGGAGGGGAGCGCCCGCGGAATGCTGGGACTGGTAGTCGCCCGGCCCCTCCCTCCGCCCCCCCCCCCCCTACCAAGCTGCACCCCCTCCTTCAGCACCCCCACCCCCGCCGGCCCTCTACCGCCAGCGCCCGGCAGTGGTGAGTATATGTGAATGGGAGCGCAGATGTCTCCGCGTCCCCGTGCTGCTGGTGACAGGGAAGGCGGGCATCTCTGCGGGAGGGCCCTGCCTAACCCTTAGGATGACCCCAAATTCACAGGCTGATAGGACCCTCGGAGCCAACACAGTGAGAGGCACTACCCAATGGTCAGGGCCAGCACCAGGCAGACGTTGACTCAGCTTGCTCATGTCCAATGAGGTCCTTGTGAGTAAAGAGCTAGTGAGGTAACAGTGTCTGCTAAATGACAGTAGCAAAAGAATACGAATAACTACTATTTTGGCCTGTTAGTTTTTATACATGTGAAAATTGAAGCATGGAAAGCAATTTGCCCAAGAACACATAATCCATCAGGGCAAAGTCGAGGACAGCTGATGGAACAACAGAAGTTTGAACTGTGTGGTCCACTGGTACTAAAATTACCCCCCCAATAAATATCTAGTCTGCCCTCCCTACAAGAGCTTGGCCCCCGCAGATTCAACCAACCACAAGTGGAAAACAGGGCTTTCCATCCGGGATTGAGAATCTGGGCAGGCATAAGACCGACTGCATACGTTGTTCCATGACATTTTATACAATGACCTTGCCCATTTTATATAATAACCTATACCTGGATTTAGTATGGGCAGTGGTCCTGCAACCAATCCCCCTCAAATATGGAGGGAAGACAAGTTCGGTTTTTCCACTGGGCTGGGGTCAGAGCCCCCACAAGGGCTAACTGTAAGTCTAAAATTCCTGTTCCTCACCTACACCAATTCAAACAGAGAAGAAATGTGCTCACTAAATCTCACTTCCCTGTGCCTCATTTTCTCCCCACTCTAACACACCATTTTACTTATTTTTATTTTTATCTGACTTCAAAGAATATAAATTCCAAGAAGGCAGGAGAGGGTTGTCTTTTGATCTATTCTTCCACTGCTGTACCCCCACCTCCTAAAACAGGGTCTGGTTAGTACACAGATGCCCAAATACTTTTTAATGATTCTTCACAGAACAGTGAACTTAACTTGGTTTACATTTTCATAACTTTTCCAGCTAGACATTTTCATTTGTATTAACAGTCTTTAAAATATTTTGTCTATCACTTGTGAGAATGGGGAATAAATGAAACCAGCTACTATGTATGTCTTTAATTTCCTTCCTCTTATTTTTAATACTTTATTACTTCCTTATTAAAAATAACAATGTTGCCTATTTCTACTAACATATAATCTCAAAGTCATTTGCCTTGCTGAGTACAATTGTGAATGGATAGATTTTTTCCCCTCATTATATAACTGGATTTCTGCTTACCCTAAACAAAATACATATACAAAAATTCTTATTTTAAAATGTTTTATTTTTTTATATTTTTTATTGATTTCAAAGAGGGAGGAGAGAGTGATAGAAACATTAGTGATGAGAGAGAACCACTGATCAGCTGCCTCCTACATTGCACATCCTTTACTGGAGATCAAACCTGCAACCCAGGCATTTGACCCTGACCAGAATTGAACCCGGGACCCTTTAGTTCACAGGCTGACACTCTATCCACTGAGCCAAACTAACTAGGGCAAAATATTTCATTTTAAATAGCTGCTTTATTTAGAAATCCAGTGTCAAGAATAGTAGATGTCTAGACCTAGGACTAACAGCAAAGTATATGTTAATGCCAGTCATTTAATCTGAATTTTAATTTTTGTATATGCCTTCCCTAATTCATGGCAAATTCTCTAGGGATAAAGAATATACTCGTTAATTCATATATATGTATTAAATATCTATTATGTGCCAACATAGATACTTAATAAACATATAAATTAATGAGTACAGGGGTGGGCAGTAAGTTGAATTCAACCTCTTCAGGAGTCAGTGAGGCTACCCAAACAGGTCAATGAAATTAATGTTTACTGATTTTCAAAAACTATAAGAATGTACAAATAAGGCCAGCAATTTGAGCACTTACAAGATTGTACCTAAGTGCACTGCCCTATTGACATTCTTTTGAATAAAATAACCTCAATGTCTTTTATATGAACTGTAAACCTACTTTTGCCCACCCCTGTATAATGTTGTAATCATGTCTTACCTGTCTTCTCCTTTGATTCACTGAATTACTCTACATATTTAAAATATGTAGAACCGAAGTAACTTTCTAACACCCAGAGCTCATGCCTCTTGGTATCAGTGGCCCAGTTCCCCCCTAGTTTTGGCTCTGAATCTGTCTCTGTAACGTCACCGGTTTGGGACACCGCTGTAGTTTGGAAAACACCTACAGCAGAATATCTGGTTTGCCTAGACTTTAACTTCACCTCACAGTTACAATGAAGTTGGTATTTGTAAGGTTGCTAGGTGTGGGAGGCAGGTATGGCAGAGCTAGGATAATGTATTCTTATTCTTTAGATGAAGTAGGGAAAATCCTAAGCAAATATATGTTGTTAGTTACCATGCCTCTGATTTAAGATTCTCACGATTCATTTTTTTTTTTTTTTTAGGAAGCCAATCCTAAATCTTCACAAGCATTTTAATTATAAAATAACACACTGACTGATTTGATTAGCCAATAATATGTAGAGCCTTTTGTCCTTTTTTTTTTTTTTAAATAATTCTTTTTTTTTTAATATTTTATTGATTTTTGTAGAGAGGAAGGGAGAGAGACAGAGAGTTAGAAACATCGATGAGAGAGAGTCATCGATCAGCTGCCTTTTGCAGACCCCCTACTGGGGATCTGCCCGCAGCCAAGGTACATGCCCTTGACCGGACTCGAACCCGGGACCCTTTAGTCCCCAAGCCGACGCTCTATCCATTGAGCCAAACCGGTCCCAGCTGTCCTTTCTTTTTTAATGTTACCCAAACCTAAGTTTTATAAGTCTATATCCAAGTTTTTATAGTTACCTGTCCTGCTAAAAGTGTTAGAGGCTTTTAATATATGCATTAATGTTCATAATGTGAACATTGTATATTAATACCATAAAGTTTTATATCCTTTAATAACTGCATTACAGAACTTTTACTATTATAGCTTAATGAGTAATATAATAGGTACCTTATACAGAAAGCATTACTGAGGACAAAGGCCAGGTACTGACCAAGCATTTTGTTGAAAAAGAAGTCCCCACATGTTTCCCAAACATACTAACTCAAGCTGACAAGGGAGAATGCTTTTAATTTGCCCTTAAAAGATTTTTTTTTTTAAAGAAGCAACTGCCTTGAGACTTTCTCCAGTTTCTCTGGCTATACTGTATGTAGCAAACAAAGCTAAGCTACACTACCAGGCTAAAACTTCCCTCTCTAACGCATGTAACTCCTTGTATCTGTGACCAAATATATGGCTTATTAGTGAACACATAGAACATGTTAAGATTTCATTATATTGAAATTTGTGCCCAGTTTGAACAAATGAGTTGCTCAAAATCATTCTAAGGCGATTTAAAATACTTGAAGAAAAAAAAAAACAATACCTTCAAATTTTTCAGAATCACTCAATTTTTAAAATCTATACACTGAATTATAAAAAAAAAAAAAAAATCCTCCAAGAAGAGGATTTTGAAGTGTATATTTTGAAGGTAACATTAATCTTTTAATTTTTCAGACTTTACACTAACTTAATTCCCCTTCTCTCGAGTGTGTGTAAATTTGGTTAGATATTTGTAATTATCTTCATCCTAAGTATGGTATACGGATGTGAAACTAACAGTGCTTTTTATTCATGTTTATTCAAGTAAACACAGGAATCCCCAAATCAAATGCAGTATATCAAGTCATGCCCAGAATCAAAGTAAAAGTAATGGACCCCAAGTTAAAATTACAGCTGTCTTTAATCGATGCATTTGTTCATTTCTTTGTCCATAAAATACAGCAGCACTAAGGTTCAGAACGGCGCTGCTGGGACAGAGCTTCTCGGGAATGCCATTCGCTGTGTGTGTGTTTCACTGCAGTTTCCATTTCTACACTCAACAGGTGACTTACAATATAAAACTGGGCAACTGCTCTCATCAAGAGCTTGGAACCAAATTCTTCTCCAAGAAAAGATGACACCTGCAAAGGTCTCCTTATTGTCATCACCCCTGCTAGGGGCCATGTCCAGGCTCCGCTAAGGCAGCGGCGGACCAAAACGGTTCCACGGAAACTGCGCCACAGCCTGGGGACGGGGACCAAACGTCTCCATCCCCGTCTCCCTCGCTTTCCCCTCGCCACTGGCCGCCAGCTCGGGCGTCTCCCCGCGCGGCCAACCGCTGCCGCGAGCGGCTGGGTGCAAGGCTCGCCATTTGCCCAGCCGAGTGTCCCTTCTCCGCCGTCCCCTCCCTCTCCGCCTCCTCCTCTTTGGGGCCTTCAGCCAAGAGGCGGGGGTGACCCTCAGCAGCTGACCCAGCAGGGAGGGCACTGCCTCTCCCTCGGCCCTCGCCCTCGGACACACCATGGGCCCAGACGCGCGTTTGCGGCGCAGCAGCGACCACGCAGGCGGCAGCCCCGGCGACTCTCAACTGCCTCCTTGACCACCGCGACCACCGCCCGGCACCCCGAAAAGCCATCGTCACACCAGCGGCAGGTGAATTCAGGGCCCCCAGATCATCCAGGCGGCAGGCGCCAAGCTACGACAACAACGATGGCGGGCGACGGGCGGCGGGCGGAGTCGGTGGTTGAAGGATGGGGGCTGCACGTGACACCCAGGGCCCCCCTGCGGGAGGGGAGGCGCCGGCTCGCCCCGGAACTCGGCGGCCGCAGTGACGCACCGGCGCACGCAACGCCGTCGCCGTCGCCGACGCGCCACGCCCGGCGGGAAGTGAGGTTTTCGGAAGAGCCGCCGGAAGTGTACGGCGACTCGGAGCCCCCGGTGGCCAACGATAGGTCTCCGATGGGAAAGCGAGTCCAGCTGAGAGAGTTCCGGCCCCACTCTACCAAAGAGGAAGTGAGGGAGAGCGCCTACAACCTACGGTCCCAGCGGCGGAGGCAGCCGCGGCTCCCGGACGCCGGCGAGATGAATACGCGAAGCGCTGCGCGCCTCCAGCCGGACAGCTCCCCGCAGCCTCCCCTGCGGCGGGCTATGGCCCCGAGACGGTTTCGGGACTCTCACTCCTCGGAAGGTGAGGCGGACGGAGGTAACAGTCCCGCGTGTCGGGGAGCGAGTGGGGCGGGAGGGAGGGCGGACGGGCTGTCCCCGCCGAGCTCATTCATCCCCGCACAGGCTCCTCCGGCCCCTGCGCGGCGGCTCCTCCGCCCGGGTGAGGTGGGTCCTCTCGTCCCGTCCACCCCGACCGCAGGGGGCCCAGAGGCACCGGCGGGAGGACTGGGAAGGCTTAGTGGGAGCAGCTCTGCATCCCCGGGCATCGGTGTAGGGGTGTCAGGATTGCCTTCCCGAGGGACGGCGAGTTAGGCGGCCGGCGGGACATCGGATCGCTCCAGGCTCAGTTTCATTTCGGTTTCCGCTAGCCTGCGGCCGTTTCTGCTAAAGAGCAGCTTCTAGTTCCTCCTTTCATTCTCAGAGGCCCAAAGTCCCCAGCTGCGAACTACGGTTCTCACCCACCTTCCAGTCTGTTCCCTCCCTGCCCAGGAGAGGAGAGAGGGAGGGAGTTGGTGAGTGGGCCTTGTGCGGGGTAGGAGCGTAGTAGTCGGGGAAGTGATTTGCGACCCCACCCAAATCCGGGCAGCGACGTGGGGTGAGCCAGTTATCTTGAACTTGAAGCCCCCAGTGTGTCTGACAGACTTGAGCTGATGGCTCTTTCTCTTTATGGTGGTCTGTGCCCCACATTCGCCACTCTGCCCCCCCCCCCCTTATTGTCATCTCAATGATTAAGGAGCAGCCTGACAAACGGGCCAAAAAGGATGCTGACAAAGTTAGTGTGTAGTTTTGTTTTTTTTTTACACGAGTCATAGGTGAATCAACACCCTTAATCCACCCCCTCCCCACCTCGCCTCCAGGCCCCCATCTAGCAGAGTCCCCAATGATGTTTCATGTTAGCCCATGTAGGGCACCTGTGAGGTAAGAGCCAGGGGGTCTGAATCACAATGGGATGACATCGTTAGACCGTTGATAGATACGGAGAGGGCGTGGATTCTCAACTCAAAGTAGCAGGCTGCCCGTTTGCCGGATGACACATGAAGTGCTGACACATTTGAAGATGTGTTCATTTTGGAAACTTTATGTTAAAGAATCATAAATTACTATAGGGTGTAGTCACTCGAGACAGTTGTTCCTATGGGAAGTAATACAGTACTTAATAAATAATAATACAAGAATGAACTCTGTTTCTCATAGTCACCACTGCAAACCCACTTTTACTCCACCCCGTGTGTTCCTGAAGGCAAAGATCCTATCATATATATTTGATAGCGCTTATGAATCTCCTTCAATGTCTGGAAGAATGCTTTGCACATATTTTTATTTAACAAGACCTGTTAAATTGTATGGACTCTTCAGAGTCTAATGGAGCTGTGTAAGTTAATATTTTTAACACATAAAGGATATGCCTCTATTTAAGTACATCTCTAAGGACCTAAACATTTTTTATTACTCTTTTTGCTTTCTTCCACATTTTTTATACTAGCCCAGCGATTTTCAACCTTTTTTCATCTCATGGCGCACATAAACTAATTACTAAAATTCTGTGCTCACCAAAATTTATATATTTTTTTGCCGATAAGAACAAAGAAAGGCATAATTTTGATTCATTTACACCAGATGGCTGTCATTTTTTAAATTTGAAAATCCAAGGGAAAAGAGGTCAGCACACATGTTGAAAATTGCTGCTCTAGCCCATCTTTTAAGATTTTTAAAGTAGTAATATGTTTTTGTGGTAAAGCATTAGAGGGGAGGAGTTTTATTTTTTTTTTTAATTGTAGTATTATATGACTAGTTATATTTATAAGTTTTGGTAAACTTAATTCCACATTTCTAAAGCAATGAATCACTTGCATTTCTGATCATATATGGCTATTAACATGAATATATAATCTCTACCCAGATCGTGTATTCTGAATTTTGACAATTGTCATATCTATCCTTTAGAGGAAGAGCTATCTCCGCAAACTGATGTAAGCCAAACAGTCTCAAAGAAAACTGTCAGGAGAACACAAGAGATTTCAGGTGAGAGAACGATTTTGGTTTTTCCCTTTACCTGGCAACTTTTTTTTTAATGTACAGATTATAACCTGGTTCATCAGGGGTCCCAAGTCATACTTCATTCAGTTTCAGTGAATCTTAATAGTTGTTTATTGAATTAAGCAATGTGTCAAGAAAAGACAAGGAGCTTACTTTAGTACTTACTGAGTACCAACTGCTTCATATATATAATATTAATTCAGTCACATAACTGTGTGTCTTATAACTTATTCAGTCGCAAAGCTCTTTTATTTCCCCCAAGTATCACTGTCACTCGCTCATGTAATAATTAGCTACCCAGTAGTATAAATGGGTAAACTGCCTTTTTACTGCCTATTTAAAATGGGTTAAATGGTTTGTATAGCAAAATCTTGTCCATTTGATACTACATTTCATGAAGTCTAAGATAGTCATCTGTAAGATACACTGTCATTGTTTTATGTACCACTTAAAAGGAAGAAATTCTATTAAACTTTAATATGCCATAGATTGTGTAATGCATCCCAATTCAGAAATGTTAAAGTCTAAAAATATTTGCATCTTAGAGTCAATGTCACATGGAAGTAGGCTACATCCGATAATCTACTTAAGTTCTTAAAACAATTATTTTGAAAAGCAGGGGAAAGAATTAACTAAATTTATTAGTGTTTAGTATATTTTGTTTTAATTCCACTTATTTTCAGTTTGCTCTTTTTGATATTAGGACAATCCCCTTTCTCTTCCTTATAGAATTATAGTTTCAGTTTAACTTGATATTTTGAATATTATATATTCTGTAATTGCATATAGGGCCACTGATGTGGTCTGAGAGAAATTTATCCAAAGATGCCTTAAGAATAAAGACTTAACCCAAGAGGCCACGTTCTAAAACAACCTAGGAAAAATAACTGTGTTACTGATCATCTAATACCTCTTCCTGGTACTTTGTCTCCTTCAAGTATCTTACATACAAACACACACACACACACACACACACACACACACACACCATCCTATGGAGCATACAGGAAAGAGGTGTTTTTTTTGTTTGTTTTTCTTCTCTATGCTCATACAGATTTTTTTTTTCATTGAAAAATTTTTTTCAATTACAGTTGACATTCAGAATTATATTAACTTGAGATGTATAGCATCAAATTGTGGTTTCTATCTGGGAAATTTAGGAGAATTTTATTTGGTATTCCTTTCCTTTTATACAAATACGGTCTGCTGAAAAAAAATTATCAATTTTCCCATCAAGTCCATAAATTTTTTTATGGCAGGAAACTTGTCTCTAGTTCACTAGTGTACCCTTATACTTAACATAATGGGAAGTACAGAAACGCCTCTGTTGAATAGATGACTGTATAATAAATCTCATGTGTTGGATATTTTACGTATTCTTAAGTGTTTTTTTCTCCCATATTAGTGATGAGTGAAAATTCTCTACTTGGCCTGAGTGAAAATTCTCTACTTAGACCCCCTCTAAGAAGTTCACACTCTGGTAAGAAATTATTTGTCTGAAGGCTTAACGTTTTGAAAAATGCAATTTTGTTTTCAAATAGGGTAGCACACATGATTCAGAATTCAAAAGTTACTTTAAATGCACAATGAAAAGTCATCCTGCTCCCTCTCTCCTTTACCCACCCATCTCATCAGAGGCAGCCAGTGTTGTCAGTTTCCTGGGTGTTCTTCCAGAGATATTTTATGGAGATACAAGGAAATTCATGTATAAATGATCTTTCCTCCCTTTAGTCCAATAAATCTTTTTGCACCTCTATAATGTTTATTTCATTTAACATATATTGTGACATTTTCATATAACTATATCAAGGGCTTGCTTCTTCAGCCTTTTTTGGTAGGTGTTTTTTACATGTTGCTATGATTCTTTTTGTCAGCACTCTGACTTCACACTAGGGTCAGGGACTTTTTATTCTTTGCAGTATGAGGCTAATAAAAAATTCAAGACTGAGACTTTGTGGCTCAGGGCTATAAAATTTCCCTGCCTCCAGTACCTCTCTTTTTGACTAACACCTTAAAAGAGTGTTACCTTAAATTGATTTCAGGGCTCTGAAAGAAAACTAGTGAAGTCTACTTCTGCTTCATTTTCAGTTTTTTGGCCCCAAAAGATGCTTTATTATGGAAACGGAAAAGGAAGCTTATTTATCTTCACATTAATTTTCTATTCCTCAGTCATATTCTATAAGAAAAAATTAGGTTGATTTTTTTTATGATTATCAAGTACTACAATGATAAAGATCTATCATGGTTTTGATGATGAACCTGTGGTAAAGAACCATATGATGCATTTCCTTTTAAGCTCTAATCTTTTTCTCACTATCTCTCTTTCTTGCAGATTCATCATACAAAACAAATGGAAGTACTGAAAAGAGTGAATTAGGTTTGTTAATTTCTAATTTTTCTGGGTTCTTTTTGAGGATTCTGATTATCAGTAGAATACAGGAGTACACACTTTTGGTCACTGGCTTGAGAATATTACTTTGTTCATTATCTCAGTGTGTGGGGCACTGTCCCTATGACCAAGATCTTTCTTAGCAGCCTTGGTGGTGGTTCCATTTGAAATTATGTATTTTGTTATACTATTGTTAAAATTTGTGAAAGAACAAATACATTTTCATTTTAATTAGCCTTTGTTAAAGTCACACTATTGAGAGAAAGGAGATAACAACTTAACAATTAAGGTTTTTTTCTTGATTTAGAAAGTGAATTTGAAATTTCTTTCTAGTAAGTTTAGTGTGCTTTGCCATGTTTGTTGACCTAGTTTTAATTCTTTTCAGTGTTTTACTCATATGGGACATGAGACCCCAAGATCTGCGGCTTTATGTGAATCTGCTTTGATTGTGGTTGGACTTAGTTTTAAGTTACAACCCTTTTCTAAATTTGGAGATGAGTCAGAAGGAAAGAGGCTTAAATTTTCTTCATAAATAGTTGCAGCTTTTATCTATATTTGACATACATATCTATGAGAATATGTGTATTCATATATGTGTGAACTGCAGAGAACTTACATGGTTCACAAAACCTAAAATATTTGCCATTTGGCCCTAAATGGAATAAGTTGGCTGACCCCTCATTTATACCAATGGCAGGAATAAAGACAGCAAATTACTCAAATTGTCATTTGTTTGTTCTAAGAGTAAATTCAAAGGGGTATATCCTTGTCTGGACATGGATTTATTGTAACACTCCAAACTAGGTTGTAATCTCCTTTATGAAATCTTTCTGTCTTTGCCCCCAGACAAAAAAACAAGGTAAGCAAAGTTTATATTTACTTGAGTACTCTTCCCTCCTCACACCAACACATTCCACAAATCTCTAGGAATAGGAACATTTATACAGTAGTAGAAATTACCAGGATCCTTGTATTTTCTTTAAAAACTGCAGTAAAAAACAAACAGCCTGGCCGATTTGGCTCGGTGGATAAAGCATCACTGAGGTTCCATTCGATTGGGCACATGCCTGGGTTGTGGGCTCGATCCCCAGTGTAGTGGGGTGCGGAAGCAGCCAATTCTTTCTCATCATTGATGTTTCTCCCTCTCCTTCTCTGAATTCAATAAAAATATATTTTTAAAAAAAATAACAACAAACAAAAAACTGCGATCATACAAAAAAAGTGAACAAAGTGTTATAATTAGTAGTCTCCATCAGAGGAGATGGTTGTAAGTGATCTAGCTTGCAACAAAGACCTAAGATTTTTGAAAGTACCTTTTTGTAAATGGTTGAGATTGTTGGCACATTTAATTATTGCCATGTGTCTATATATTTGTCAGTGCCACAGATAACCTTTGAAAATTAAGGGTATTATTGCTCCAAAAAGGATTTTAATTTATCAGAACTTCTGTATGAGCATAAGGAAGAATAATACCATATATCTCGATTTAACTTTTTTTTTAATATTACAGAGAGAGGAAGGGAGAGAGAGAGAAATATCTATGAAAAAGAAATATTCATCAGCTGCCTCCTGCATGCCTCCTAGTAGGGATCTAACCTGAAACCCGAGCATGTGCCCTGACCGGAAATCAAACCAGTGATCTCTTAGTTCATGGGTCGATGTTCAACCACTGAGCTACACCAGTTGGGTATATTTATTTAATGTTTTAAACTTATGCATGTAACAGCCAAGACATTTAAAATACAGGAAGCTGAATAACAAAAGAAGGAAATGAAATTAAAACTTATGTAGTCATAGATGCTGCTGATTCATTATCAGATAGTATTTAAATATATATAAATATCTTGCAGCTTAGGTTAAAAAGATGAAGAAGACAAGTGGAATGTTTAAAACTTTGTATGAAATCTGATTATTTAAACATTGATTTCAGGTGACTTTTTTTAAGTTGCCAAGTATTGTTTTTTTTATTAAAGTATGAAAAATATTAGCTAGTCTTAACTTAAAAGCTTTTATTCTGTGACCCTGAAATCTATTCATTCATTAAAATAGGCATTTATTTTTAACCTCCTCCTAAATGTCAGTGACTGGCCCATATGCTAGAACCAAAAAAATGTACATAAAAATTTTAAAAATTAATTAATGTAATCTAGTACATCAACAAACTAAAGAAAAATTACATGATCATGTCAGTAGATGCAAGGAAAGCATTTGACAGACTCCAACACCCATTCATATAAAAACTTAGTAAACTAGAAATACATTTTAGTGTACAAATAGACCTGTGGGTAAGGGAAAATAAGCTTTCTGATTTTAGTTTGTATCAGACTTATTCCTGAAACAGAGTAGAGGGAAATAATAAACTCTTCTTGGATTTAACAAACAAACGAAAAAAATAGTTCAGTTTGTCTTTATGGTCCCTTTTCTTAATTTAGATGTTTTTATTTATTCCTAAGCTTTAGCCTTTGATGTTTTATACACGTATGTTTTTCTCTTCTAGAAGCCACCAGTGTCCCACAGAAGGTCAATTTCTCCGAAGAAGGTATTTTCTTTCCAAATGTCATACAATGTATTCTTAATCTTTTTTTGTTACCATTATCAGAATTTTGATAGATACTTAAGAGTGAAAGCAGAAAATAGTGTCTTTTTATTCAGGGGGGAAAAAAATCATTCTTAACTGTCAAATAGGCAGGTAAAATAATATAGAATGAGTGTTGATAGCCTTTGTACATTTTAGCAAATTTTGTCTGAGTTAATAATTTTAAGCAGCCGAGACCGGTTTGGCTCAATGGATAGAGCGTAGGCTTGGGGACTTAAGGGTCCAGGGTTTGATTCCAGTCAAGGGCATGTACCTTGGTTGCGGGCATATCCCCAGTAGGGGGTGTGCAAGAGGCAGCTGATCAATGACTCTCTCTCATCGATGTTTCTAACTCTCTATCTCTCTTCCTTCCTCTCTGTATGAAATCAATAAAATATATTTTTAAATAATAATAATAATAATAGTTTTAAGCAAAGCTAGTATTTTCAGTTTTCTGACATTCTGGCATTTGATTATGTTATTAAAACAGTTTTTCAAATTCTCATAACCAGTCTATGTTTGAATAATGCAGTACCATTTAGTCCATTTTAAAGCCTACCATACTCTGAAATTAATCACCTCCATACTGAAATGTTTGTGTGTGGACATGCATATAACCCTCCCAAACATATGCATCTGTATATGTACTAATCTTGTCTGAGTTTTCACACTAATAAGTTAAAGTTAATAAGGTAAAAATTTTCCGCTATTTAATGCTCCCCTTTTTTAAAAATTTTTTTTCAAGCTTTGGAATATAATCTTAGTAAATATTACTCTCAGTATTTGTTAGAATATAATGATATGCCTCTGAGAATATAAAATTAATGAGCTCAATTTTAGCTTATTTAAAACATTGTGACTCAGAATAAGTAAACCTAATAAAGAACAATTTTGTATCTGATCATCAAAAAGATTTCACTTTACGCCGAAACCGGTTTGGCTCAGTGGATAGAGCATCGGCCTGTGGTCTGAAGGGTCCCGGGTTCGATTCCGGTCAAGGGCATGTACATTGGTTGCGGACACATCCCCAGCGGGAAGTGTGCAAGAGGCAGTTGATTGATGTTTCTCTCCCATTAATGTTTCTCTCTGTAAAAAAAAATTTAACTTTAATAAGATTTAACTTGAATGCTTGTTTTTGTTTCTTAATCTTGATCATTAGAGCATTTGAATAGATACTATACTAGTGTATCCTTTCTTTTAGGTGACACTGAAGAAGATGATCAGGACAGCTCTGACAGTGTTGTTAATTCTTACAAGGACAGATCCAAGAAGTCTCTTGACTCTGGAGGTAATACTGCTTTATACACATATGACACTTAGGAGCTGTATTTTTAGTTAAAATATAAAGGTACTCAGTGAATTTGCTTTTTTTTTTTTAATATATTTTTTATTGATTTTTCACAGAGAGGAAGAGAGAGGAACAGAGAGTTAGAAACATTGATGAGAGAGAATCATCAATCAACTGCCTCTTGCACATCCCCACTGGGGATGTGCCCGCAACCAATGTACATGCCCTTGACCGGAATCGAACCCAGGACCCTTCAGTCCACAGGCTGACGCTCTATCCACTGAGCCAAACCCATTTCAGCTGTGAATTTGCTTTTTTAAGAAATACTGTAAACCCTACCTGTTTGGCTCCGAACATTGGCCTGCAGACTGAAAGGTCCCAGGTTCGATTCTGGTCAAGGGCACATGCCTGGGTAGTGGGCTTGATCCCCACTGGAGGGCATGCAGGAGGCAGCCAATCAATGATTCTCATCATTGATGTTTCTATCTCTCCTTCTCCCTTACTCTCTAAAATCAATAGAAATATATATATATTAAAAAGTTGTTTTTCTCTCTCTCCCACTCCTTTCTTCTCTGAAATCAATTTTTAAAAATCAATGGAAAAATATCCTCAGGTAAGGATTAAAAAGATATATATGTATAGATGTATACTAGAGGCTCAGTGCACAGATTCGTGCACCAGTGGGGTCCCTCGTCCTGGCCTGCAGGGATGGGGCGAAACTGGCTCTTCAGCATCTCCCGAGGAGTCCCAGATTGTGAGAGGGTGGTTCTCAGGTGACGCATCCCAGAATCGGGCTCCCTCCTCTCTGGTTCCAGGTGCAAGTCACCTGAGAACCGCAGCTCAGCAACTCCTGCATTGAGCACCTGCCCCCTGGTGGTTAGTGTGTGTCATAGCTACCAGTTGGCCAGTTGCTTAGGCTTTTATGATATATATATAGATATTTAGTCACCATACCTGAGTGTGTTAAATGCTTCTGTTGCCAAAATAGCAATCTGATTGCTTTTAAACGGATTTACCTCTAAATTCCACTTAAATATGACAATGTTTTTAAGATAATATTAAAATAATGTATTGACCACTTGCAAGAGAAATTTAAGAAAAAATTTGATATTAATAATTTCGAGAATAGCCATTATTACAAACTTTCATAATTTCCTCTTACCTTGCACCATGTTCTATGTTCTTTTATTTTATTTTAAATATATTTTATTGATTTTTTTACAGAGAGGAAGAGAGAGGGATAGAGAGTTAGAAACATCGATGGGAGAGAAACATCGATCAGCTGCCTCCTGCACACCTCCTACTGGGGATGTGCCCACAACCAAGGTACATGCCCTTGACCAGAATCGAACCTGGGACCCTTTAGTCTGCAGGCCAACACTCTATACACTGAGCTAAATCTGTTCAGGCCTATGTTCTTTTTTTTAAAGGGGTTAGGGGACCCTAGCCAGTTTGGCTCATTGGATAAAATATCAGCCCTTGGTCTGAAGGACTACAAGTATGATTCCAGTCAAGGTCATGTACCTTGGTTGCAGGCTCCATCTGAATGCAGGAGGCAAACAACAATGTTTCTTTCTTTCTCTCCCTTTCCCTTCCAGTCGCTTGAAAAATATCCTTCGGTAAGGGTTAACAAAAAATAAAGTAAAAAAAGAAAAATCAGACAGGGAAAAGACTAATAATTAATTAGTTAATGTTTTAGATACAACTTGATTCTTTAGAAACATAAAATTATGCACTCAGGTGTTCCTGGGGTTTATCTGAGTAGTATTTTTGCTCTTTTGATTACTCCTTTTTCTCTTGTAAAACGTGCACTTAAAAAGTTAAATATACTCTATATTGTACTATATTTCTTCATTATTTTTTAGATCAAACCAGCAGACCAAGTCAACATCTAGAATCATTTTGGCAATCATCACAAAGTAAGGAAAGTACGTTTTACACTCTTACAAGTCTACGGGTGGGTGTGGTCAATGCTGCTTTTGTTTTTAAAGATCTTCTTTTGCAAGTTTTATGTAAAATGGAAAGGGGGTTTGATGAATGCTTTAAAACCCTCATCCTGCATCTTGAATTTGCTTTTTGAGTGAGCCATCTCTGTATTCAACCTTGAATTAGAATTTAAAAACGCAGAACTGCTTTCAGTGATTTGTTGAGTATTTTTGGTTACAATGTACATTTGTTGAAAAGTTTTATTTAACTAATGTAGTAGTTTGAGCCCACTTACATAGACATAATTTAATAAGGATATAAAGTTTTATATGCAGTATAATTTTAACTGTTGCAAAGACTTGGAATGATGAATAAATTAGTGATAAATGAGATGTAGTAAAAAGTTAATGGTAAGTTAGGTGGTGGGCATATAAAAGTTTTACAGCCTTGCTTACAACTTTGAAAATTTTCATAATAAAGTGTTGAGAAAATATAACTCAAGAAAAGATTGGAAAATAATGTGCTCAAAGCTAACAGTGATTTGTTTAGAGTGGCGGAATCATTAGTGACATTTTTCATTCACTTTTTTCATTATTTTGCAGATTATCAACAATGAATATGTATTTCTTAAGTTACATGGAAATGATATTGGGGTTTTTCTCAGTTTCAAATCAAGCCCCAGAATTTGAGTTATTCATAGATTTTAAAAAATATCCTTGTATACTGCCCTGGCTGGTGTTCTTCAGTAGGTTGGGCATCATCCTGTGCACCAGGATTCCTGATCAGGGTACATGCCCAGGTTTTGGGCTCCATCCCCAGCAGAGGGTGTGCAGGAAGCAATTGGTCAATGATTCTCATCATTGATGTTTCTCTCTCTCCCTCTTCCTTCCTCTCTATGAAGTCAGTAAAAACGTATTAATTAATATGGAAGACATGAAAATAGGCAAGTTTTCATTAAATAAATGAAAATTTTTTAAATTTTTACTTTCTATATCATTTGAAGACAAATTATCATTTGAACAATATTGGTTTATTAAAATATTATAAAATATTTAACTTGCATCAGCTTCAAGGTTTATGTTGCCCAAATTTTGTATATAACAACTTTAGAATCTGCTAACACCCATTGAGTTGATTCCACTTTGGATTCTAAGGTGTCAGTATCTCCTTGCAAATTTTTCTTGTGTTTCTTCTTGAGAATGGCTAATGAAGACATCAGTTTGATGAGATATCATTAGCAGTTGTCATCTGCAAGCATGATGCCCTCACAAGCATCATCTAAATTTTGGAGTTCTTTTTTACATCTATTTCTTCCTTCAGCTCTGTGATTCTACTTACATTCTGTTCACCTTTGTTTATCTTTCATTGATCTTCAAAAGAGGCATTGACGTGTAATTCCACTTTATCTGTATTTTTTAGTTTTCAGTGGGTTCTAGGTTTGTGGTTTAAAAGCAGAGGTAACAAAATGAATAAGCTGCTGAAACAAAAATAAACCATTGTGGAAAAGAGACTCTGTATCATCTTATATATTTGTCCTTTGTTACTCAAAATCTTTGATTTTGGAAGCTCTTACATGTATCTTTCTATATAAATATGCTACACTCATGCATTAGAATATTATTTAGGTATGATTAATTACCTAATTAATGCTCTATTCTAATGAATATAGGTAACAAGATATATTTTCTTGAATCTAAGATACCGTCGATTTTATGCATCACCAAGAAAGAAAAGCCATCCAGTTAAACTATAACATACCATTGGTTATAAGATGCAACCCTAAATCTGAGGTGTTGCTATAAAAGTACTTTTTAGAATCAATGAAAAGAAATATTAAAAATCATGTGTCTACTTTTTTTAAAAGTACTGTATTTTGTTAGTATAGACTAAAGACAAATCTGGAAGAACATCTGTCTCATACACTATGACATTTCTACATGTAATATTTTGTACATAGTAGGCACTACTAGATATTTATTAATTTTTAAGTTATACCTTTCTAAAAAAGGTGCATTTCTTTTACAGCTAGCATATATTGCACTTGTTTTCAGGAAAAAAGTAAAAAATAAATTTACATTGATGCTCTCATTTCTTCAGGGCAGATTTGGAAATTTTCTTGTTAGAATTGTAATATTCTCAAGTTCCATGTGCAATTTTTATACGTGTTCTTAAGCATCAGCGCAAAATATGCCGCAGCATCCTTTATTTCATTACTGCTCTGCAGTGTCCACAAGTTTGCTGATATAATACATAACATTATGTGGATTGCCAGGGTCCATATCTCAGCCCTACTACTTTGAGATATGTAATGGGGCAAATTATTAATTTAAATTTCCTTATTTGTAACATAAAAATAATAATAGTATTCACCACACAAATTATAAGAATTAAGTAAAATTATACTGACAACTGGTAAACATTGAAGACAGTTCATTATTATTTTAATGTTATTGATCCTAACGCTTACTACTAATTATCTAATTCCTGAACATTTTGAAGTTTAGATGAGGGAAAACAGTTACATATTGTATATGTTTGAGACTGATGAAAGAAAGGTTTTTGCTTTTGTTTCTTTGATTTATGTATTTATAATAAACAAGCAAAATATTTATGCAATATTTTATTGTTCTTATTTTCAAGTATTCTATGACTTTATCTCTGTTTCTGTTTCAGGTCAAGACTTCACAGCTTTTGATAAGCAACATTCAGTGCCAAGTAAGTGGTCGGTGATTCTTTGATTAGACAACCAATTCTAACCTGTCATTACTCTGCCAACAAAAAGTACTACCTATGTAGGACTTTTTAAGTCATTTTATCCTTTTTGCCTTTTAATTCACCACACATTGGTGCTCTATGTGGTAGTTACTCTGTGATGTGCAAATGTGTTTGGGACAGTTTTACTGAAAGTAATTTATTTGCAAGAGTTAACTTTTCCTTCTTAACATCAAAATCAAGTTGAAGTGTTATTGAGCTCAGTCATTTTCACAGACCAGAGTAAAGCACTTGTACAGAGTTTTGTTTCTTAGGTGATTACACAGGGATGGGCAGAAATAGGTTTGCAGCTGTGATTTTGTGAGTTTATTCTTGTATTATTATTTAGTTAGTTATAGTATTATCTACTGTTATTATTATTATTAACCCAGTTTTGCCCATCTCGGTATATTTATTTGCTACCTGTTTTGCTGGGAAGTGGTTCATCCTCACCAATGTGGTCCTTGGACATTGTCTAACACTGGAGTATGGGATACATTTTCAAAGCATATGAAATCATATTTTGATATATATACATATATTTGCTACAGGCCCGGGATATCAAAGAAACCTTCTGCAACGTGTTGACCAAACCACAAGAATAAGGAAGACGATGCCAAGTAAGTTAAGCCTCTACTGTTATTGAAATAATTTTACTTGCTGTTTTTCTTGATTATTTAACATACAAAAATATGTAATTTTTCAGATAAGCACTTAGGGTGTTTGTGATGTCATTAATAAGGACATACCATGAATAGATGTGATGAAGCAATCACATTTTGAATTCAGTGTCCATCATAATTTCTGTAGCAATGTGCTTATGTTAAACCTTGACCATATAAAATAAAAATCCATGCCTTATGTGACCTTTAACCTCGCTCCCTTCTTTACTCACCTAGTCACAATAGGTCGCGAGGTCATCACCCCTTATTATCTAGATAGCATAAAAATCCCCATCATGTATCTCTTGCTCATGAAGTGACAAACTATAATTGGACAAGGTAAGCTCTGTGGCTTTGTTTCCCATCAGCAAAATAGTAATGGTTCACAATTCATTTTTTCCCAGCAATGAAGTTTTTACCTCACATATAAGTGAGTTCTTCAGCTATCCAAACTGGGTTAGCTTTTTTTCCCCCCAAGATATAATTGGCTTTATTAAGCAATTCATGAATGAGGTAGCATCCCTTGTAGCCCCTAGAAGGATGCTTTCTGGGTTAGCTTTTTGCCTTTGCCTTAATGCTGGCTGTCATTTCTTATTGCTATGTGTTCCTGCTATTAGAAGATCATTTCCTCTCAGTTTGCTCGTCCTTCCTACTAGAGTTAGGAAAGGTTATTGATTATTAAGATTCTTAGGATTTGTTTATAACTAGTTTTAAAAAGTTAAAACTTATTTTGAAGATCTGAGAGATACTCTTGGAAATAAAACTGAGTTTGAGCATATATTCTATGAAAGTTCAGAGATTTTATATGTTATTTCTTAGTTCTTAACTATACAGGGTGTTTCCAAAAATGTCCACACACTTTAACAGCTGGTAGCTCAATTTTGAAAATAAGATGTATTTTAATAAACACTGCCTTTATAATTATTTGAAGTGTGTGTAGACATTTTGGGGGACATCCTATATTCTGGGTAATTAATAACAGATTACTTCCAGATAAGTGAAGTATAGTGCTCAGTATTATCAAAAATGTATATGAAAAAGGCCAGGAGGTGGGGGGTGGACTAGAAGGGGTCGATGGGAGAAACAAAGGGAACATCTGTAATACTTTCAACAGTAAAGGTTTAAAAATAAATAAAATAAAATTAGGAGACTTTATGTAATAAGGTGGACATGTTCCTCAAAAAGTTTGCATAATTTTTACTTCCTCCAATAAGACACTACAAATGCAGTGTAGAAAGGAAAATAATTGCATTGAGGATCTGATTGGAATGTAAAAATACACCTTTTAGTTGCTAAATTGCTAGCTAATTTTTTGTATTTTACCTATTTGCATTCCTGCTTTGTCTCAAATTAGTTCATTATGCCTTCTAGTTTGATGTAATCTCATGTTTTGTTTCTGCTTTTGTGACCATATCCATGAAGTCGTTGCCAAGGCCAGTATCAAGAAGCTCTTTCTTTGTGTTTCTTCTGGGAGCTTTATGATTTTAGTTCTTTGGTTTAAGTTTTTAATCCATTTTAAAGTTGATTTTTGTGTACATTATATGATAAGGGTCTAGTGTCATTGTTTTGCATGTGGATATCCATTTTTCCCAAACATCATTTATTGAGGAGACAGAGCTCCGTCACATTTGTCTAAGATCAGTTGGCCATGTTTGCGTGGATTTATTTCTAGATTCTGTTCTCTTCCATTGGTCTATATATCTCCTTTTATGCCAGAACCATGCTGTTTTGATTGTCTTAGCTTTGTCATACATTTTGAAATCAGAAAATGTGACACCTCCAGCTTTATTGTTTTTATTCAAGCTTGCTTTGGCTATTCGGAGTTTTTGTGGTACCATATGAATTTTAGAATTGTTTTTTATTTCTGTAAAAAATGCCATTGGAATTTTTATAAGACTTGAACTGAATCTGTAGATTACTTTAGGTGGTATGGACATTTTAAGGATTTTTAATTCTTCAATTTATGAACATGGATGTCTTTCCATTTACTTGTGTCTGCTTTAAATTCCTTTTCAGTGTTTTATAGTTTTCAGTATACAAGTCTTTCACTTCCTTAGTTTAGTTCTATTTTATTCTTTCTGGTACCATTGTAAATAAGATTATTTTCTAGATTTTGTTGGTGTTCATTTTGTTTTCTTAGTTTACTTTTTATGAGTTATATAAATATTACATGTTATATAACTATTATTTAGCTGTTTGTCCTTAGTAGCATCGTAGTATAGCACTTCACAACATTTTTATATACTATTTTCTCATTGGATCTTTGCAGCCATGGAGTGAGGTATTCAAGCTAACATAATCTGTTGAATATTTTTATGCATTTGTATATTTGGTAAACTAATTTAGCAGCTTCTAAAAGACATAGTGTCCTGGGCTGAAGTATGAATTTGTAAAACAATGTGTCTTTATAGTTAAGGTTGATGTCATTTTGCTTTATTTGAGAAATACCATAACCAAAAATAAGGTTATTTCTGGATCTTGGCAGAGCTAATTTTATTTCTCCAGTTTAGTTTAGTGTTTCTCAAATGAAAGCTGATGGTAAACACCAGAAAGATAATTTATTTACATATATGTATGTATGTGTATATATATGTGTGTGTGTGAATATGTATATGTATGTATATATGTATATATATATATATATATATATAATAGTTGTGACTTCAGACAACTGATAAATGTTAATTATTGGTAAACGTAGATCATATGAATGAGTAACTTACCTTCTCCACTTTCTGAGCCCCTGTCCTTCTGTAACCTCTCTTAGAAGTTAAAATCTGTGGCCAAGCCAAGAAAGATGGAGGAAAAAAAAGAGTTGGGGTAGTTTTTAATTTGTTTTCTGAAGTAAGAATAGAAGTAGAGATTTGATGAAGTTGTGAGAATATTATTTTTGAAACCTATTGTTAAACCACAAACATAAAACAGATTTACTTGTCTATTAACAAAAACGGTGAAAAGTTTGTTTAGTGTAAATTTTTTATTTTATTTAAAACATTTTAAATTTTCATTACAGTTGACATTTGATATTTTGCTACTTTCAGGTGTACAAGATAGTGGTCAGTTGTTTATATAACTTATGAAGGATCCCTCATAAGTCTAGCACCATATATTGTTATTACAATATTATTGACTCTATCCATTGGTCAGCAAACTGAGGCTCACAAGCTACGTGCGGCTCTTTGGCCTCTTGAGTTTTTAGCAAAGACCAGCTCAGGAGGACCCTAATTAAGTTAATAACAATGTACCTACCTATATATTTTAAGTTTAAAAAATTTGGCTCTCAGAAGAAATTTCAATCGTTGTACTGTTGATATTTGGCTCTGTTGACTAATGAGTTTGCCGACCACTCTCCTATACTGTTTGTACTTTAAATCCCCATTGCTATTTGTCACTGCCAATTTGCACTTCTTAATCCTTTCACCTTCTTCACCAAGCCCCTCTAAAATTACTGGTACTTGAAGTGGTCAGAAGCACCAGAGGAATCTTTGACTCAATTTGAGGTAGAAAATAGTGTTAAGATGGAGCTTTACATTAAAATGCCTTATCCAGTCTTGGCTGGTTTGGCTCAGTGGATAGAGCGTCAACCTGTGGACCAAGGGTCCCGGATTCAATTCCAGTCAAGGGCACATGCCCAGGTTGAGGGCTCTGTCCCCAGTAGGGGGGTTGCAGGAGGCAGCCAATCAGTGACTCTTATCTCATCATTGATGTTTCTATCTCTTCCTTTCCCTTCCTCTCTGAAATCAATAAAAATATATAAAATAAATAAAATAAAACACCCAGATAGCCCAGTGTTCATAATCTGTATTTTATTCTTTATTTTCCTCTTTACAGCATCAGTACCAAATATTTCAATATATTTCAATTCTTATTTGAACCTCCTATCTTTATCCCAGAAGTTTCATGGCTCCCATTAAATAATTTGGATCAGAAACTCGAAGGCGCTCTCACAGAGCGAATGTATTAAGAATATGCTTTGTACTAGGCATGCCGTCAATAGTTGTGATGGAAATAGGTCCCTGTCTCAAAGGAGCTGTCATTCTAATGGGCACTTCTGCTTTTTGCTTGTTTCTGGCTGATCTCCACCTTTTCTTTCTCTTGGTGGAATTTTTATATTCTTTCTCTGTTGGAAGTACGTAAGTTATGAAACATAAATTGATGGTCTTTATTACTCCTATCATTAGATAACAGCTTCCAGAAATCAGAGTTTGGAAACCAGTCTTCATCAACCTTCAGGCAATGTAAGTCTATTCAGTTTTTATTAAGTGAGTCTTTAAAATTGGTTATCCATAATTCTCTTTAATTGTGTTTGACAGCAAAATAACTTACTGCTATTTGAAGAATTGTATTTTAAGCACTTGAGAGGGAGAAGTTCATATTTTTCTAGCGGTGAAATTCTTTAATGGTAAACGATAGGAAACAACTGGTTTCCCCCTTCACTTTATTGTCCATATAACCAAAAGTAAAAGTTAGTAAACTAAAGCTACTAATACTATTAACCAAGTGGACCTTTCTGAATAAAAAAAAAAAAAAAAAAAAAAAAGACCTCACATAGCATAACACAACAGGATTGTCGTGGGTTTCAGAGTCCGCAGGCTTGTATTTGAATTAGATTGAATCTCTTACCTTCTCTGTAGTATTGGGGGCAAGTTTAGTTTTCTAAGCCTGTGTATTACCCTGAATAAATACTAAAAAAATAACCGATTCTTAGACTTTTTGGTCTCGGTACCAAACTGAGTTTGGTGAAATTAATAAGTACCCAAAAAAACCTCTTATTTTTAAAAATATGGGTTATACATAACCATATTTAACTAGAAGATAAAGTTGAAATTTTTTTCTGACTTACTATTTTATTTTTGAGTAATTTAATAAGAAGAGCTGTAACTTGCCGAAACCGGTTTGGCTCAATGGATAGAGCGTCAGCTTGGGGACTGAAGGGACCCGGGTTCGATTCCGGTCAAGGGCATGTACCTTGGTTGCAGGCATATCCTCAGTCGGGGGTGTGCAAGAGGCAGCTGATTGATGACTCTCTCTCATCGATGTTTCTAACTCTCTATCTCCCTTCCTCTCTGCACAAAATCAATAAAATATATTTAAAAAAAAAAAAGAGCGGTAACTTGCTTTATATTTTTTCCAATTTCTGGAAATGTCTGGCTTAACAAAATGGAGCTTACCTATCTATTACTTCTGCTTTCAGTCTGTTGCAATGTATTGTTTTGATTGAAGTATCTGCAGAAAATCCAGCTTTATACAGATATGTAGAACTTTAATAGTTTCAGATAATTGTGGATATTTTAATTTTGATACTCTCTAAAACTCAAGAAGTGGTAGTTTCTAACTGCTGTTTGAATATTTGAGACCACGTTAACAAACTTTTTGTATTCTATAAAATCTATTGGTCTTTGTTGTACTTTGAATAGACTATCTTGCGCTGGTCATTTGGAAAATATGATTCATGAAGTTATGTAGTTTCCAAATGTTGAGACATTTGTAATACAATATCAAAAGAGTACATTTGTTAATATCACCACCAACAAAAAAGTCTTTTAGAATTGGGAGCTTTCAAACTGATAGTAGTAGATACAATATTCCCACAATCCTAATTTTCACTTGAAACCTTGAATTTTATAATTGGCAGCAAATACTGTCAGTTGGGCTCACTTTGTTCATTTTCAAGAAAAAGTCTATCAGATATGCAAATTTGAGTAATCATAGTTTCTCACTTGTTCTTTCAATTAAAAATTTCATGAAAAGAAGCACTAGGGCAGCTCACAACTCAGTTGCACAAGATCTTTTCCTGAGACAACCATTATATTGGGCTATGTATCCGAGTGCTTTATGTAACTGAACCTATGTATTTTTATTAGTCAATGTTACCTCAGTAAATTCAGTTCTTTTAAAAAATAAATTTTTTAATTGATTTCAGAAAGGGAGAAGGAGAGAGAGAGAGACAGAAACATTAATGATGAGAGAAAATCATTGATCGGCTGCCTCTGCACGACCCCCATTGGGGATTGAGCCTGCAACCCAAGCACGTGCCCTTGGCCGAAATCGAACCTGGGACCCTTGAGTCGGCAGGCTGACGCTCCATCCACCGAGCTAATCCGGCTAGGGCAGTAAATTCAGTTTTGATAAAAAGAAGTGCTTTATAAGTGTTTCCAATTTTTTCACATAGAATATTAAAATTTGTGCTCAAATTATTTCTTATTAACCTCAAGTTATAGTAAGATATTCTTTTTGAAGGATATTCTTAAGTAAAACTGAATGCATGGCCATGAAGTATACAAAACTATAATCATATAGTTTGGTGCCACTGCCCTGTGATTCATTCTAAGGCATCATTTGTTTTTTATACCATCAATGCAAGTGTCTATGTGGTGGGAAAAGTTAATAATGTCTCAGTGTTATGAGATCTATGACAACTATTGCTCTAAAAGGTCCATATTGAATTATTAGCCTAAAGCATCAGTCGAGAATTAGAAGGTGTAGAAGTATTTTCATTGCCATTATATTAAACGATTAAGTGTATCACATATGAGAGAGTGCTTTATAAACTGAAAAGCAATAGATAAGTAACTTGATACCATGATAGCCAATAATAATTAGGGATGATTTGCAAACTAAATTTTACCAGTGTTAATTTGCATCAGTGCAACTAAAGGGACAGCTAGCTACAATATATGCAAGGTGTTCACTTAGAGTGCATCCTTTTCTTTATCTTTTTGCACACTTAAAAAACTTTAAAAATTCTATCTTGAATAATTAGCCATCTGAACTCTGGGTTTCTAAATTTAAAAATGCTTTATAACATATCTTTTAATATTGCTTACTTCCCCAGTATTCACAGTAGTAATAGTTTTGTTTTATAAATTATACTCGAGGGCCTGGTGCATGAGATTTGAGCACTGGTGAGGGGTATGGCCTGTGGGGATCAATCCACTGTGGGAGCGCCAGTCATCCCAGTCAGCTGCTCCTCCTGTGGGAGTGCACTGACCACCAGGGTGCAGCTCCAGCATTGAGTGTCTGACCCCAGGTGGTCAGTGCTGGTCATAGCGGCTGGTCAAGTGGCCATTCTGCTGTTCATTGGCTGGGCTTTTATTATATAAGATTATTTCTAATTTGCTTATGCCATTTGATACATTTAAATTTTATTTCTTCCTCTTGAGTTTTTAACGTTTGGTAATGAAGAGATATAAGGATGCTTACACACATACCTTAAAACCCATGGGTGTGAGATTTCCTAAAAATGTGTAATAAATTATTAAAAAAGTAGATTATCAGCTCCCTTCTTTAAATTCGTCCTCTTTTGTCCATTTATAAGGGGTAGTATTGGTTTTCCTGGCCAGTATGGCTCAGTGATTGAGCATCAACCTATAAACCAGGAGGTTGCAGTTTGATTCCTGGTCAGGACACATGCTTGGATTGCAGGCTCAGTCCCCGGTAGGGGGCGTGCATGAGACAGCCGATTGATGTTGATATATCGCTCTCATCAATGTTTCTATCTTTCCCATCCTCTCTAAAAATTCAATAAAAACATTTTTTAAAAGATTAATATTGGTTTTACGAGTCACTTGCCCTTGACATGAAGAAATTTATATTTGTATCTGTCATTTTTTTTTTTCTCCTGAGCAGACATGACTGGACAACCCAAAAATGCATCTTTTGTCAAGTGGGACTGGTGGTGGATACTTCCTGTGCTCTTTATTTTTGTCCTTGGGAGTTGGTGGTACACTCGTCGTGTTCCTGAGGTAGAAAACACTGCTGTGCAAGAGTTCCAGAACCAGATGAAACAACTTATGACGAAGTACCAAGGTCAGGATGAGAAGCTGTGGAAAAGGAGCCTAACATTCCTGGAAAAACATCTCAACAGCTCCGAGCCTCGTCCTCAGCCTGCTATCCTGCTGCTGACCGCTGCCCGTGACGCCGAAGAAGCTCTCAAGTGCCTGAGTGAACGAATCGCCGACGCCTATTCGTCCTCCCGCAGCGCCCGTGCCATCCGGATTGACGGGACGGGCAGGGCTACTGAGGACAGCGATGCTGTGAAGCTAGAGGTGGACCAAGAACTGAGCAATGGATTCCAAAATGGCCAGACGGCAGCCGTGGTGCACCGCTTCGAGTCCCTGCCCGCAGGCTCCACTTTGATCTTCTATAAGTATTGTGACCATGAAAACGCGGCCTTCAAAGATGTAGCCTTGGTCCTGACCGTCTTGTTGGAGGAGGAGACCCTTGGAACCAGTCTAGGCCTAAAGGAAATTGAAGAAAAAGTGAGGGATTTCCTCAAAGTCAAGTTCACCAACTCTAACACACCCACCTCCTACAAACATATGGACCCAGACAAATTGAGTGGGCTCTGGAGCCGCATTTCCCACTTGGTCCTGCCTGTCCAACCTGAAAATGCCCTGAAAAGGGGAATCTGCTTATAAGCGATGACAGAAGAGAAATCATGTCCCAAGTTCTGAGAATTTTTTGGACTTTGTAACCAGAGATAGAATGCATCTTTGTGAAAGAACTGTTATCTTTCTAAAGGAAGTAAAAGTTCTAAATCATTTCTCCAACCTGTTACCTGTTGTTTAAGAGAAACATTTCCCTGTTTCCATTAAGATTTGTGTTACTGGTATCAGAGAACTGTAAGTTAGATGTAGTCCTACAGAGGATCGTTTTAGATGGCGGCTGAAACGTCGTTTCTCTGGAATAACAGTGGGAAGGACTAGAAAATCCTTCCTGCGCAGCTTTCCGATTTTTAACGTAGACTTTTTACAGTTTGTTTTTAGTAAGGCAGCTCCCTAAATGCAACTGTGTGTTTTTCCACTTTGTTTTTCTTTTCCATCATTTGGGTGTGAGTTCCTTAGCTTCTGCTTATAGGAACAAAAATAACGAAAGGTCATCTGAGTGTGTGTTTTGGTTTTGGGTTAGTTTTTTCTTTGATTTTGGAGGGTGGAAAGAAGGAGGCAAGGGAACAGAATTTGTGGATTGGGGAAGGAAAGGAGGGGAAAAATAACTCTTAAAGGTAAAATGTTAAAATAAGCTACAGAGACGTAGGCAAACATAGTTACATAAACTCCATTCTCACTGCCTTCTGTTAGGATTTGTTTTTCACATATCCTTTTTTTACTTTTAAGAAATTTTTGGTCCACCCAATGATTGTGAAGCATGATATCACAAGATTAAGTATATTTACTCATTTGACTTTTAAGGGCAGGTAAATCCAGAGCGGTTTATTTTGAATATATCCTTAAGCTTTGTTTTGAATTAAGAAATGTAGTTTCTGGGGAAGGGAGGGAAAAACAAAAGGAATATAATTTTAGGATTTGGTAGACCATTGGTTAACCAGCTTTTGTGGGCTATTGAAAGATTTAATTTTCTACATGTCCACTTGTTACAGTCTCCTTTAGTTACGCTTATATAAAGATTTACTATGTACATAATAAACTTGAGTGCCTCAAGCCACAAAGAAAGTAAACGTGACCATGTGTGAAGAATGTTAAAATGTACTATTTGTACATTATTGTACTATAGTATTTCGGTTATAATTTTTGCATATGTAACAACTTTCTCATCTATTGATTGCTTTGGTTTTCTTAGAATCTTAAAATTCTAGAACCATCTTGTGGGTTTTTTGTTTGTTTGTTTGTTTGTTTTTTAATTATTAACAACCCTTTTGATGATCCCATGACTGGTAGTAGAGTATGGTCTAATTTCTTCTCCCTAAGACTACCAGTGTTCATAAATTTATACCTCATATTGTCATTTGTTCCTGTCAGAAATCAGATGGTCTGATTTATAGAGGATTCTAAAACAAGAAGAGTTTTTGAAGAGGCTTATTTTATACCTATATATTATATGGAGAAACAAATTGTTTTTATTAAATGTTTCACTGACCAAAATAATTTTAAAGTAATTAGTTTTGCTTACCTTTCTGGAAAAATAATTATAGCAGCTGATCCATAAATGACTTTAAAAGCTATTTTAGTAATTTAAATAAATTTACTTTTCTTGGTTTGTACTCTTTGTATGTGTTGTAAACTTAATGATTCATCAACTTTTTTTTAATTTTTTTTTTTTTATTACTAATCCTAGGGTTTTCTTTACATTTGAACAACGTGAGTGACTTCTGCTGGGAGAAACAAAGGCCACAGAATTGGATTCAGTCAGGAGTACATAGGTTAGAAGTAGAATCTCCATGATTTTCTGTTTTATCGTGGGATTCTGAATTATCACTAGAGTGAAATCAGTATAGGTATTCCTGATTTGACAGAAGAATCGGTAGCAGTGTTTCTCAAATTTTTCATTCTCTCCTCACTAAACAGCCTTTCTAGATGTATTTTTTTCTAATTGTCTATCCCCAAGAAATTTTAATACCACACATACTCTGATTCTGGGCATCTATTTAGGGACCGTATACAGTTTCATACAGATGAAGAGTAATATTTTTTTGCTCCCCAAAGTTCCAAATTTTGCCCATTTGGGAAGGTATGATCAACAACAGCTGTATTTCAGATCATTGCTGCCTAAAACATTGTATTTTCTGTTTATGTTGTTATAATCCTTTTGCAAGGGAAATTTTAATGTCGTCAGCTTGAAAATAGGCATTAGGGTGTCTAGAAATGAGTCACATTGTGACATTGGGTGACAAATTGGTCCAGGGAAAACTGTAGTACAGTATTGTATCATAGAAATGTCTAGAAACTTAATTTGCTTCTTTTTTAATGACTTCCTTCTATTTCAGGAAGTTTTCTAAACCTCCAATTCTAAAAACAAAGACCTGAAGTAAACTTGATCATCTTTTTGCATCCTCCTCACCTTCTCTCTAGCAGGCTTGATCCCATGGGCCCGCCTCACCCCATGTCATTCCGCCTCAGGACCTTGGGGTTATTACTGTGTGTGGTTAGCGTGATCCAAAGATACAGAATGGATCTTGAAGGAAAGGGTCGTTGCTGGGCCTCCAAAGGAACCCCGGGTGGACAGAGAACCTTTGGCCTCCTGACCTCTGGGGTTTACTATGGGCAGACTTTGATTGGACCGAGATAGATCTAGGAGTGGGGAGTGATGGAAGCGATGTGCACATTTCTCCTAAGTGCCATGCTCACATGGCTGAACAGACATAGAATCCGGAGAATGGAGGAGGTCAGGGACCGTGTACCGTTGGTCAGAAAGTAGATTGGTTAATATCAGGTCTTCCCCTTGGCTTGGTCAAGTCCGTCCAATAGCAGTTTCTGCCCCATAGAGTTGAAATACGAGGCCTTTTGGGAAAGGCCCTGTATTTTCCTGATAAAGCATAATAAATTTTGCAGGCTTCCTATCTGGAGAAGAAAAATAAAGTTCTTTATTTACTTACTTATTTTAATATATATATAATTGATTTTTTTTTTTTTACAGAGAGGGAGGGAGAGAGACAGAGAGCCAGAAGCATCGATGAGAGAGAAACAGACCAGTTGCCTCCGGCACACCCCCTACTGGGAATGTGCCCACAACCAAGGTACATGCCCTTGAATGGAATCGAACCTGGAACCCTTCAGTTCGCAGGCCGACGCTCTATCCACTGAGCCAAACCTGTTTCAGCTAAAGTTTTTTAAATTAAAAAATTAAAAAAAAAAAAAGATCTTGATTTTCATTCTGTGAGAAGTATAACAGAAGGGTTTATATAGTTCCTTCCTAAACTAAAAACAAACCCTGGTTTCCCTGCAATATTACATCTTTGGAAAGTAATCATATCTTTACGCTGGCAATGTAAGGAAGCATTTCTTGCTGAAGGCGTAAAGTTAATGGACTATTCTGCCATAGTGTCCCTATCAAGACAAAATCTTACGGGATGATGATTCTACTGGCATTAGCCACCTGGAATAAAGACATCAGTCCTGAGTCTGGGGACCGAATCCAGCAAGCTGCCATTGGCTGTCAAAAGAGGAAACTGCTATTGAATTTGAATACCTCTCTCTCTCTGGCCTAGCTTCAGGGGCGTCCTGGCATTCTTGTGGACTCTTCTGGGCAGTAGGAAAAAAACACAGCCTGTCACCTGAGCATAAACAAGGAATAACCCTTCACAATCTATACATTGTACTCGTCCCTTTTACACATGCCTGGAACCTTCTGGAATGCTTTATTTCCTGCCCTCTCCCTTTCCCCAATTCCATGCTCTGCTCATTCATATTTGTTTCTTAAGGCCTTGGTGTTCTTTTAAGACAGCTTCACTGAGACCTTCCCCCAAATACTGATCTAGCTGCCTTGTCTCTGTGCTCTTATTCATCCTGAATCACCACGGACACAGCAGTTAGCACACTCCCCACTGCCTTATGCCTCCGAGAGCAGGCATGTCATCATTACACATACAGTGATAATCACGATGTCTTGATGTTGACTTTTAGTGTTTGAAGTAGAAATAGTCATGTATTTAGCCAGGAATTGTTTGATTATAAACAAAAAACACTGTTTAACCAGCAGAAGAGAAAAGGAGGAGGCGTGAGAGGGCATTTAAGGATGTACATCTCAGCACGACAGGAAAATACAGGAACCGGGGAGGCTGTTCTAGATGGAGCCTCAGCCGCCATTCCCTCCGCCTCGCCTCTCTACTTCCGGTTCACTGAGCCTTAGCCACTTCCCCTTTGTGACTTAAACACACTAAGGGGTGAATCTGATTGGAATGTCCCTGGTTAATACATGGTTAAACCCGTTTGCCTAGATCACCCCTTTCACGGGGTCCAGGAGTGGGAATGGCAGTCTGCTGAGGGGTCAGACCAAAGGATAAGCAGAGATGGTTAAGGGGCAACTTGAAGATGTAAATACGACCTCTACATGATGTGATATCATACTGTTAGTTCATTTTCTTGAAATCAAAGGTAATGGAAATAATATGAAAGCTCTTAAATCTGGGTCCTGGTCATGGCTCAATCTAGATAAGTCTGTATCTCTGCGACAAATGTGTTCTGATTTCTTGCCATTGCTTCTGTGCTTCCTGTGCTGAAAATGCAAACAGTTACCAAAACTCCAGGTACTGTTTTTAATAGATAATGGCTACTACTTGTAAGATCTTCAACAGAACACTGAGCTTTCTTTAGTTTTCAGTCCATTCTTTGGGCAAGGTAGGTGACCATGTAGCCCTGATTCAACTCTAATGTTTCAGCGTTTTCCCATGTTTAGCATCATTCGTAGGCTAACTCAAGAAGAGAATGTGCTCCATGCCTTCCCGCCCTCTATAGAGAACACTCACCCCGGTAAGTATGTGCACTTCTTGATGGGCAAGCATTTTTTACAAATCTATTCTCAATCTCAGTTTAAATGGACTTCATATTTTGTACAACAAAGATGGAACAGAGCTATGTAAAGACCTTTATATCTGAATATGTATTTTGTCGCCTTCACCCTTTTTAATGGGTTGTTAGCTATTTACCAAGGGCTTATTAAAGCTGTTCCAAGTGCTTTCTATGCA